CTTCTACTTCCCGTAAATCACCAAGCACTCTAACTCTTCAAGCAATTTCCTTCCCGAATCTTCAAACAGATGATCTTCTAGAAGTTGATATGGAGATATGAAGGGATGTTTTTGGTTTTGTGATGGTTGATGTTTTTATTCAAAAATCATGAGAATCAAAAGATGAGAAAGATCGAATGTTTGGCTCTAAATCCTTTGGAAGTTAAAAGAAGTTCTTGTTTGAATGTTTTACAAAAGTATTTAATGAAAATCGGACGTTTTGTTTATATAGTAGGTCAAATTTGGAAATATGGAGCGTTAAAAATTCGCGAGGCATTAAAATTACCAATGGCCAGATAACACCGTCGCTCGAGTGAGGTGCTGGCGAAACTCGAGCGACGCACCTTCGCTCGAGCGACTGCCCAGCGAAACTCCAGCGAGATCAATTCTACAATTTTGGCTCGAGCAAGGTCAAGGCGAAACTCTAGCGAAATCAACGCGCCGTTTGCATCTTCAAAGCATCCTACTTTACCCTAGACCTATGCTATGAAATTTATTAAATTGCAACTCTAGTCCCCTGAACTATTAGACCTTTACAATTTAGTCCCTGACTTTATAAACATGACAAATAGGTCCTTTGGTCACAGATTGCCAATTACACATTTTCCTAACAAACTCCCCCTTTGGCATTCTGTGACAAAAATACATATGACAGTCAAGGAAGAAATAAACATGACTCCAAACAACCTATCTATTCAACCAAATTAGCAATCTCTTGTTGAACCTGTTTCTTGAAAATCAAAAATTCAAATATCAAGTGTAAAAGCATGTGAACCTATTCTTGTTGAACTTGTTGGAATTTCTTAACAAAGTATGCAATTTTCTCGTCCCTAAGTGACTCAGTATCAGAAGATTCATCTTCTTTGATGGATTTTAGGGCTATGGACTTTCCTTTCTTAGGTTGTGTAATAGTGAGTTCATACGTTTGCAACGATCCTACCAGTTCTTCAATTTTAACTTCATCTAGGTCCTTACTTTCTTCAATGGCAGTGACTTTAGGCCTAAATCTGTCGGGCAAGGATCTAAACACTTTTCTCACAATTTTAGACTCGAAAATTTTCTCACCTAGATTGAAGCTAGAATTGACAATGTCATTCAATTTAGCATAGAATTCGTCAAACGTTTCATCATCCTTCATTCTCACTTTTTCAAACCTAGAAGTTAGCATTTGTAGCTTAGAGTTCTTTACCATTTTAGTTCACTCATGTGTAGTTTCAAGAATGTCCCAAACCTCTTTAGCAGTTTCACACATTGACACTCTCCTAAACTCTTCGGGAAACACGGCCATAAACAGGGCATGAAGACCCTTGCTATTCCAATTACACTCAGCTATTTCATCTTTAGTCCACAGTGATATGTCGGTAAGGTTAACAGTTCCTAATACGATAGTAGAGGGAGGTTTCCAACCATTTTGCACACTTACCCAAACATGCTCATCTAAAGACTTAAGAAACGCACGCATTCTAACCTTCCAATAGGCATAATTACTTCCGTCAAAATATGGAGGTACAAAAAGTGATTGACTCATCTAGACAACTATGGGTCATGACTCGAGATTTGGCTCTGATACCACTTGAAAAAGATATAGTTCGACCCAACCAACACCTAAGGGGGATGAATAGGTGTTTATGCGGAATTAAAACAATTAATTAACTTATGCAACAATTCACATAAATTATACATTGCCTAGATTCATTCACATACTTTATCTACCAAAATTGAATTACCGGTTGAGAAATAAATAACAAAAAGTAGTAAAAACACCACAAAATGTTGACGGAGAAAACCTAACTGGGTAAAAACTCCGGGCACAAGTCAGTAGAGATCCACTATCGAAGATATTGACTTACAGTACGCCAGACATAATTGAAACTAACAATTCTCTAACCTCCTTACTGTATCAACCAAAACTCTCCTGGATTCTGCAGATCTGCGCCAAAATCTCAGCCTTGAATATCTTCTACTTCCCGTGAATCACCAAGCACTCCAGCTCTTCAAGCAATTTCCTTTCCGAATCTTCAACAGATGATCTTCTGGAAGTTGATATGGAGATATGAAGGGGTGTTTTTAGTTTTGTGATGGTTGATGTTTTTATTCAAAAATCATGAGAATCAAAAGATGAGAAAGATCGAATGTTTGGCTCTAAATCCTTTTGAAGTTAAAAGAAGTTCTTGTTTGAATGTTTTCCAAAAGTATTTAATGAAAATCGGACGTTTTGTTTATATAATAAGTCAAAGTTGGAAATATGGAGCGTTAAAAAATCGCGAGACATTAAAATTACCAATGGCCAGATAACACTGTCGCTCGAGCGAGGTGCTGGCGAAACTCGAGCGACGCACCTTCGCTCGAGCGACTGCCCAGCGAAACTCCAGCGAGATCAATTCTGCAATTTTGGCTAGAGCAAGGTCAGGGCGAAACTCTACCGAAATCAACGCACCGTTTGCATCTTCAAAGCATCCCACTTTACCCTAGACCTATGCTATGAAATTTATTAAATTGCAACTCTAGTCCCTTAACTATTAGACCTTTACAATTTAGTCCCTGACTTTACAAACATGACAAATAGGTCCTTTGGTCACAGATTGCCAATTACACATTTTCCTAACACGCAGAAATCAGTTTAAAAGAAAATCAACCATCTAGATAGTCTTCCTTTACAGCAACACTTGAGCAAACTCCAAGTAGACCACGCAACTTCACAAATGTAGCCAACTTGAGAGGCTTGGTCTGTATATCTGCAACTTGGTCTTCACTTCGACAATAAACTAGATTGATTGTTCCATCATTGGTGGGATCTCTTAAAAAATAATATTTCACATCGATATGTTTGCTTCTGCCATGTAGCACAAGATTCTTGGAGAGTTTGATTGCGAGTTGTTGTCACAAAAAATTGGAATAGCTTCAACTTGCTTTAACTGTAGCTCTTCAAGAATTCTTCTCAACCAAATAGCTTGACAAGCACAAGCTGTTGCTGAAATAAATTCAGCTTCTATAGTTGACAAGGTGACAATTGATTACTTCTTAGAAGACCATGAAACAGCCCCTGTGCCAAACATAAAAACATAGCCCGAAGTACTCCTTCTATCATCTTGATCTCCTGCATAATCATTGTCAGTAAACCCAAACAACTCTAGCTTTTCACCCTTCCTGTAGAATAGCCCAAAATCTTTAGTTCTTTGCAAGTAATGAACGATTTTCTTGGTTGCTAACAAATGCATTTCTGTTGGATTCTCCATATATCTACTTATTAAACTCACAGAATGCATTATGTCAGCCCTTGTTGCAGTTAAATACATCAAACTGCCAACAATTTGCTTGTAAAGTGTACTGTCCACCTTCTTTCCTTCATGATCTTTGTTTAGCTTCAAGCCAAACTCAGTTGGTGTGCTTGCAGGATTACAATCCTTCATCCGAAACCTATGCAAAATATCTCGCACATACTTCTCTGGAGAAACGAAGATCCCATTAGCTACTTGTACTACTTCTATGCCAAGGAAGTAATGCATCATACCAAGGTCAGTCATTTCAAATTCAACCAACGTGGATTTCTTGAATTCTTTAAACATGACACCATCATTTCCAGTAAATATAAGATCGTCAACATATAAAGAAACAATGAGCAGTTTCCCTTTATCTCCAATTTTAACGAAAAGTGTGTGCTCATATGGACATTTGTGAAAGCCTTCTTTCAAAAAATAAGCCTCAATACGACTACACCAATCTCGTGGAGCTTGTTTTAATCCATAAAGAGCTTTCTTTAGTCTGTACACTTTATGCTCATTTCTGATCTTAATATTTCAAGGGGTTGTTCTACAAATACATGCTCTTCCAAATTTCCATGCAAGAATGCCGATTTGACATCCAGTTGGAAAATAGGCCATAAGTTCTGTGCTAATGCAATCACCAATCTGATTGTATCATCTCTTGCAATGGGAGCAAAAACTTCTGTATAATCGATCCCAAATTCCTATTTATATCCCTTAGCTACTTAACGCGCCTTATACTTATCCACTTCACCATTTTCTTTTAATTTTGATTTGAAGACCCATTTTACACCAATGGTTTTATGCCCATTCGGAAGATCAGTCAACTCCCAAGTATCATTTCTTTCAATGACATCAATTTCATCATCCATCGCCTTCCGTCATTTTGCTTCTTTGACGACACTTTCAAAAGTTATAGGATCACAATCTGAAAATAAGGCAAAATGAGTGATTGGATCTTCAATTTCAGTCATCTCATAGTCTTCCATCCATGTGGGCCTTTATCATCAAAACACACACTTTTCCCCTTTATCATCAAGTTTCTTCCTTTTCTCATCCGAGATATGTGCATAAGCAATGCAGCCAAAAATTTTAAAATGATCCACAGCTGGTCTTCTTCCACTCCAAGCCTCCTCTGGTATTTGAACAGCAAATGTAGGACTTCTGTTTAAGATGTGAATACTCTAATTTATTGCTTCAGGCCAAAAAGTTTTTGGAATTCTCCCTCTTGCCAACAAGATTCTCACCATTTCCTCTTTGATACACCATTTTGTTGTGGTGTATAAGCAGTTGTCAGCTCTCTTCGAATGCCATGAACTTCACAAAAAACTTCAAATTCAGTTGAGCAATATTCTCCACCACGATCTGTTCGGAGGGTCTTAATGGTCTTTGTGTTTCATTTTCCAGACGAGCCTTGAAGCTTTTAAATGCACAAAAAGCTTCTGATTTTTCCTGTAAAAAATAAACTGAGGTTTTTCGAATGTAATTATCAATGAAGGTAATTAAGTATTTTTTACCTTCATTTGAAATTGGTGTTATAAGGCCACAAATATCGGAATGAACTAGCTCCAAAACACCTTTTGCTCGCCATGACTTTCCTTGAGGAAATTGAGAACGATGTTGTTTACCAAAAGCACATTCTTCACAAACTTGGGAAGGAATACTAATTTGAGGAAGACCGATCACCATATTTTTCTGCTAGAGGGTCTTTAGTCTACCAAAACTCAAGTGGCCATAACGAAAATGCCACAGCCAAGAAGAATCTTTTACTTCGGCTACCAAATAAGATTGCACACTTTCAATCTTCAATGGAAACATTCTTTTTGAACTCATTTTCACAACAGCAATAGCTCCTTTAGTAGGATCATAAATCTCACAAACACCATTTTGAATAGTGATTACATAACCCTTTTATTGCAATTGACTAGCACTTAACAAATTGCTTTTCAAGTTTGGAACATAAAGGACATTAGAAATTGTTTTAACAAAACCATTCTTGGTTCTTATCTTAATATCACCCTTTCCCATTACCCTCATAGTGGAACAATCACCAAAACTTACTGTAGAATGAAAGCCTTCATTTAAATAAGAAAAAGAAGACTTACTTCCACACATGTGGTTACTGCAGCCCGTATCCACATACCAAACATCAGAGTCAGGAACCTGATTGGCTTGATCAGTCATCAACAAAGTTTCCACTTCGTTCGTAGCAAAATTTGATTGCTCTTCATTTTCTTTGTCATTAGGCAGCCTAGTAAGACATTCAGAATGATAATGTCCAAATTTATGACATCAAAAGCACTCTACTTTGGATTTGTCAAAATGTTGATCTCGTCCTCTGCCTCTGCCCTAAAATTGATCATTATTGACTTTGAAAAACCTGCTAGCATCTCTATTGCCTCGATCTTCCCTTCCTCTGCCTCTACCTCGACCTCTACCCCTTCTTCTAGAGTTCGATAAATGAGTAGAGGTAGAAGCCTTCAAAGCTTGTTCCTCTGAAGTTGAACTTTTGTTCATCTTCTGTTCATGGACCAGCGGAGAACTCTGTAGTTCATCAAGAGAGAATGCATCTATGTCTTTTGATTCTTCAATGGAACACACGACATAGTCAAACATTGGTGTCAGGGAACGTAATATTTTTTCCCAATGGTGACATCTTCCATCTTCTCACCATGAAATCGCATTTTGCTGCTTATCTCCATAGTCCTGGTATTGTAGCTGGTGATAGATTCCCCATCCTTCATTTGTAGAGTCTCAAAATCTCTTCTCAAAGCTTGAAGTTGTGCACGCTTCACTCTAGCTGAGCCTTGATATTTCTTTTTCATGAAATCCCAAATATCTTTGGAAGTTTCTTTGCAAAGAATCGTTTCCAAGATGGGACGATCAATGGCCTGAAAAAGGTAATTTTTTACCTTCAAATCTTTTAGCTTTCGCACTTCCAATTCTGTTTTCTGGACATCTATTAAGACTGTAATTGCTGCAGCTGCTTCAATTCCAAATTCAATGATCGACCAATACTCTTTTGACCATAGAAAATTCTCCATTAGCATACTCCAATGGTCATAGTGGCCATCAAAACGTGGGATTGCTGCCTGCACAAAATTTGAATCGGAAGCCATCGATTCCTAAACCCAGAAATAAGAATGAGAAAATAGCTGCGGCTATTTTGAATTGTTTGTAGAGACTCTCACTGTTTGGGAAGTATTTCTCGCTTTCTTTCTCTCACACGTTTCTGGCTCTGATACCATTGATGCAAAGCTTAAGGAAAGTAACGAAAAGAGATGAGTTGAAGGGAAGACTCTGTGCATTCAATTGATAAAGAAAAAGGGCCTATATATAGGCTTTACATCAGAATAACTCCACTAGCCACGACTCCTAGAAAACAGTTCACACATAAGACACCACGAAATAAAAAACAACTACCTAAAGACTTAGTCAAACCTATCAACTAGACTATTAATAAATATGAAATAAAACATTTAAATCTTAACATATTCAGCACAAAAACTGGTACTGGTTGTCATAGTCTGTGTTTATCTTTTTCTTTTTCTTTTTTTTTTCTCTTTCTCTTTCCTTTTTTTTTTTTTTTTTTTTTTTTGGGAGGGTCAATATCTATTGTGCGTTTTTGTCATGTTTCAAAGGAACTAGGAAGAATTGGATAGCACTCAAGACTATTAAGGAAGAAAAAGAAGTTAATATTTTATTCATTAATTATGTTGTCTAGATTAAATTTTTGCACCATTATAAATTATATGATAGAATTCACTCATTCAGTGATTCACTTTCTTCTCCTTTCCATGATAATGTTGTTTGCTTTTCTTGGTTATTCTTTTTCATGTCACCGATGAAGGTATTGCAGCATTTCTAGAAAGTTCTGGGGTATTTTTGGAGGAACTTTTTCCGAATAATGTGACAAAGGTATGAAATAGGAGTTTTGAGTTATTTTCGTGAAGTCGTTTTACCTAACGCCAAAATTCGCTTTGAGTTTAGTAATCTTCAACGGCTTCGAACCATAAGAAGACCGACAATCAAAATCTTTTCAACTTCAACAAATGACTTTTTGAGTCCAGTTCACTCACTTATCCCGCACTTAATAGGTATGTGTAAATATATAGTTATAGTTTTTAAATTTTATGATTTTGATTCTTGAAAATATATTCTTCTATAATTGCATGACGGTAGGAGTACTCTTTTGTAACCGACTGAGCGTAGGAGGATTTCTTGATACACGAGTGTTTATTTTTTCATTCCATAGTTTTTTTTCTGGTGATGTATGAGGAACAAAAATAAAACCCAGGAAGTCGATTTCTCATTTTTCTGGAACAACTACAGAAGTCTCCTGATTTCTCAGGTAAATAGGAGCATAAAAAAGCTTTTTAGTTTTGAACTCTAATTTAGCTTCGTTATTGAATGGTGCAAATTTATATTTTACCATTTCTTGTTATTGTAGCTGATATATTTCATATTTAGTGTAGAAGAATTTTCTGTAATTAAAAGTTGAAGATACGAATTAAGATTCTAATGCTTATATACTATGATTGGTTGTTTAAAATTTGAATTTATTAATTGTTAATTTTTGGCTTATTATAATTTAATTTGGGGTGTCATTTTTAGTTAAATTTTGAATTTATGAATTTAAGAATTCTTGATGCAACAAAGAAAGGGTTAGTTAACATGGGAAATAAGAGTTTTGCGCATTACTATCCAATAAAACAGTTTTGCCATTTGGATTTGGAGTTAGAGGAGGCTGATGATGTAGCTTTTTCGATCATTGGACCGTGAAGTGTTTACCTCACACGAATTATTATGTCAATCATAGTCGACATTTCAATCCACAGAGCAATATTTTTCAATTTTTTCTCTCAATTTCTTCATTTTCATTATAGTTTTCATTTTTTTTGAGGTGTAATATTTTGTCAATCAGTATTAGTGATGTAAATCATTACATACCACCAAATATTTCATGTGTGCCCTGTTAAGTCCATAACAAAATTTTCCATATTTTAGTCTTAATTTAATGGCTCTACTAGAATGAAAAATCCTCATTGTTTTTACCATGTTATTCTACCTTATCTTAAAAGAGAAGATCCACAATTTACTGTTCATTCCTGAAGCTTCTGTTCATTTTCCCATCTTACCCTTAAGTTTTAGGCAAATTAATTCTATAGTTAATTATAGTTGTTATGCCTCTAAATTATCATTTCATATTGGACTATCTTATTGTCTAAATTATCATTCTATGTTGGGCCATCTTATTGGAGCCGGGGTAGATCCATCGGTATTGGATAACAGAGGCCCAAGTGGCAGCCAAGTAAAAGCAAGAGGCCAGTCGAGGTCCACTCTGTAGCGAGGTGCCACGTGTCAAGCCAAGGTGTCATGCACCGAAGTGATATATGCCTCACCCAAACCTCAAGTTGATATGTTGTGAGGCATAGACTGTAACGACCCAAAATTTTAAGGATTTAAAATTGTTAACAAAATTTTTATTCCATAATTAAATAAATTAATTCAAACATCCAACATGAAAAATCTTTCTAGTTTCATCTATAAAATAAATAAAACATATGGAAAACATAATTAACTAAAATGTGTCCCAAATCTTAAAATTTCACATGAAGATAAAACTGTGCAAAAATAAAGAATAAAAAATAAAAGTTCATAGTCAGGTTACTCCGAATTTTTTTATTTTAAATTCCATGATTTCTAGCATTACGACTGCACCACATCGTCCATCAACCAACGACCCGTTTTAACCTGTGAAGAGTAATAAAAAGGATGAGTATATAGGAATACTTAGTAGGATACAAAAATAGTGATGCAATCCCGAATAAAATATTTAAATCATGCTTTAAAAAATCATATCATCATCATATCATTAGAAATCAATAAGAACTCATAATATATCATATCTTTGGTATCGGGTAGCCATTTCATATCATATCATAATCATCATATCACTTCATAACTTTCACAAGTATAATAATTTACCAACATGAAAAAAATATAATTTAAACGGGACAAAACACTTGTAACTCGTAGTGCTGCCTTGATTGATGAAAAGAGTTTTCTTGAAAGAAAATTACTAGCTTCACGTTCTCAGACCTCCCTCTCCTTTTTTTCCTTGATGTGAGATGCTTATTAAAGTAGATCAGGATTCTCTATGTGTATACAATCTACAATATTTATATCCCAACAAAACCACGCGTTTTTCCATGTCAGTGACCCAAATAACTGATTTATTTATTTTTTTGGTTATACACATTTCATTTCACCCAATTAAGACAATTACCTATTTTCAATCAAGGCGGCTGACATGATGAGGTACAGGTCATAATTATTATGTACTATTCAAAGAAAGTTGATATAATATATATTTTATTATACATTCCAATAAAAGAAGAATTTACCTTATTCTTGCCCACCCAATTCACACGTGTTGCATCTTTTATATATTCAAAACAATTATAAACAATTATAATGCATGACGAGATCTATAAATTTCAATATTTTGAGTCTAACTTATCTGAATAAACTTTTTCTCAGGTCTAATGCGCGTGATTAATTACGATCTATCCAACAAGTCCAATATTCATAAACTTATTACTGTTCCGTCAATATCTACATTTTAACCCAAATAAAATTAAAATTTACTTTATATATATCTTAGTCCCTGAACTTTCAAAACATTAAAATATTGCATACAAAATTAAATTCCATTCCACCAAAATTTTCGGGACATTACAATGACACTACCGAAGTGATATTATCCGAGGCGTCATCTGATACGGAAGTGTGAGGAGACGAGGCACCATACGATAGAGGAGTGTAAAGGCCCCTCCATCGTCAGTTTTAGAGATGTATCTACACGCCAGGATCCCGTTATCTTTATGAATTGATTGATGCGACATCTCAACCTTATGTCAACTCACATATCAAAAGATTAATAACTCGTCCTCCTAAGATACCACTGATTGACGCCTACGAGCAGACGCCTTACGCTGTCAAATGCATACACGTGTTCTACATCCACCGGTACCCTTCGCCTATAAATACCAAAGACTTAGCAAGAGACAAATGTAATCTTTTTAATTCTAGGCATTCCACAACCAAGTAACATATATTCTCCTCCCACTCTCTTGCACAATTCCGCACCGTCCCTATCACCGTCCACTAACTTGATCGTCGGAGTGTTTGCGACCGCCACCACTCCCTGGTATCGACCGTATACGTCTGATTGTTTACTCCTGTGCGCGGGGAAAAACACGTGGCGTGGCTCTCGGTTGGCTACATGAAAGGCCCTATTCGTGAAGTCAACGGTATTGTTTACTTGTGTGCACAAGAAAAGGAGGAGAAATAGTGCATAAAATTTACTATCTGTTGGTTTAATTGGAGTATGGCTTTGATAAGTTGTGTTGAAGACTATGCGAAGCTTTATAGTTTGTACAACTGCATGTTATTCCTCAAAATTATTGAACCTTCAATATAGACAAAAGGATAAACCGTTTTTACAGTACTCATATTTGTTATTTTCTTACACAATGGTCAAGATGTTGACATACATGTACTATTGGGGGTGTTAATTTAAGTGCTCATACAATAATTTTCTGCAGAAATTTAGGTGTTAATCACATGATGACAGGCATTTTTCTTGTTAGAATATTATCCAAATTCCTATTGGGATTAGGATTGAGTTAGTAGATTGTAATAAGAGTCTTCTCGATTTAAAAGCCCGATTGAAAAAGGGATCAAAGTACATTATGGATTGGAAATTTGATTGTTAGGACTCTGGAAAATTGAAGATTTGGTGCTGGAGTTTTGGTAGAGAGAAAGTCCTCGTAGTTTCGCTAGCTGGCCTCATGTTAGCCTACAATAAAAGCAGTGCCCTTTTACTACCAGTAGAAGAAGAGGAGAAGGAGTTTTAGCTTTGGCGCTTGAGCATCAGGAGTAAAACAAAGTAGAGAGCTAGCATTAGGCTTCGCTCGAGCGATAAGCTGCTGCCTGCCTGGCACTCACCTAACGCTCAAGCAGCATTGTTATCGGGGAGGATCCTTTTTCAATTTTGACTTGTTTCTTCAGTTGTATTTCATCCAAAAGACTTGTAATAAGTTCCTATGTATAC